ACGGGAGGTATTGGAAGAGCTGCGGCTGAGTGCAGGGGAATCTGTCTGAAGCGGGACTTGCGGTATGTTGAGAAACGATGTGGTTGAAGAGAAGAGGGAGGATCGTGGGAGGGTTTGAGGATGTTTGTGAACCATTTTTGGACGGCGGAGGAAGAGGATGAGTCGTCTGTGGCGGAGTCTAGAGATTCAGATCTATTACGAGTGTGTTTCGCTGATTTTGATAGGATTTCTCCACTGAAACCTTCCACTGATCTGTTCCTGTTGGAAACAGTTTGCTCTCCAATAACAGTTTAACCGCTGTAGAAAAATCTAAACTACTTGTTCACACATTTGTATATGTTACTATTTAGGCTTAATATTTACTTCATCAGACAAGTTTTTGGGGAGACGACAGATGTTTATACTATAAAATTTATGTATATGCATTATCAATATAATTGTAAGTACATATATTTATATGCATTATCAGTATATTTGTACGGTGATACTATATGCATATATATGTTGTGTACGTAGCTACGTGCATACCTTCTAGCAGACCTAGAGAGAGGATTCCTTCGATCTAAAGAAGAAGCAGATAACCTTGCAGCAGCTGGAGCAGCTCCAAACCTTGGGGAGCCAACAAGTCTGGAAGGCGAATCACATCTTGATGGAGACGAACCCACCAAACGTCTTGCTTCTTCTAGCCACTCCTGCGTTGACCTACTGCTGTTGCTTCTCCTGCTGTCCTCGAAATCATCATCATCATCATCATCATCGTCATCATCATCAGCGTCCATTAGTGATGCTACAGTAGCATGATGATGATCATCATGATTACTGCCAGTCAAGTTGTAAGCTTTCTTGTTGGAATCTACAGTCCCAAAGAAGAGGTCGTTCATGAAGTCGGTGAGATCCGGTTGGTGTTGGAGTTTGGTGGCTCTTATTCGATTCTCTGCAACTTTCTTTGGCAAGCTCGTTGAGCCTGTCCTCTCTCTTGAAAGCTCCCTGCTGCCATATCTCCTCTCCATGAGACGCACATAAACGAGCAGAGAGGTATGGGTTAAACCTTCTGCAGCTTATAAGCAACACTGTGGAAGAAAAGGTATATAGGTTGCATGTACGTAATTTAATATCGAAAACATTGGTAATATCAGAGAGGTCGAAAGTGGACATGATCGAGTAGTGTTTTCGCCGGCAAAGGGTGGCTGTGGTGTATATATGTATATTATATTTACGATCAATGTTCTTAGAATAAAACAAAACATTTACTTCCACGATTTTAATTAAAAGGACATGTTTTCTAGCTAGCTTATAATCTCCTAGTTAGTTGATAAGAATTTGAAGGTAATTTTTTATTTAAAAATGAAACTTAATTTGTCACACAACACCAACCTAGTGCATTGGGATTTTACTTGGAATTATTAACTGCAAATACTAGTAATAAAGAGGCACATCTTCATATTATTTCGAGTTTATTCTACATAATCTCCATGCATTAAGTATATAAATAACTTCTATAATATCCTCTAAATTTCATTTGATTCGATACTTAATATTTTTTTTATAAAAATATAAATTCAAATAAAATTATATCTTTCATTATATTATTATAAGTATAGTATAGATATATTATTTAATAATTAAAATATATAATTTTTACTTTTTAAAAAGTAATAACATTATCTTTATACTCTAATTTTCTCAACATTAACATTTGTTCTTGTTACAATGATAGTTTTTTTTTAAAAAAAAAAATGCAATAGTATATTTTGGATGAAGCTCAATTTATTTTAGAGTCATGATTAACATTTAGAATTCCGAATATAATTTTTAATAAAATGTTGAAATTCCAAAAAATTATGAACAATTATAATGGCTAATAAAAATTTTCATATATCATTTATATTTATAAATAATAATTGCAAATCAAAATCAAGACATGTAATTTTTGTAGAATAAATATCATATTTTTTCTCTCTAAACTTTTTATCTCTCTCTTCTCTCTGCTACTTTTATCTCCCTCTATATTTTTCTCTTTCTCTATCTCTAAAAGATTCTCTCTTTCTTTCTTTATTTCCTCCTCTTTTTAAAGCTCATCTCTCTCACACACAAACTCTATTCTTCTCTTTTCACGACTCTTCTTTTCTCTTTCCAGAATTTTCTTTTTTCTTTAATTCAAATTCTTCCTTCATTATTTTCTTAATTTCAAATTTTACCTTACTACTTTTTTAAATTCATATTTGGCCCTACTATTTTCTTAATTCAAAATTCTATTCTTATTACTTCTTTTATGTCTAAATTTGAACCCATTATTTTATTTATTTTTTCTTTTTTCTAACTTACTCTTATTTCTTAATTTTTACCATAAGTATCACAAATTAATTTCTTTTGCCAAAATTAAGATTTCAGTAAATTACATGTCAAGGTTGGATCCTAATAACTTGATATTAAAGCTAGCTTCCAGATCCCAATGGAAGGCGATAATGGCCGATGGTGCAAAACTTTTCGATTGACTAGAGGAAAAACTTGTTATGATGATCCAGTTGTTAAGCAGCAATGTTGCCTCTCTAGAGGATGCAAAATTAGTAGCTGCTGTTGCAGCCGTGCACGAAATGTAAAGTGAGACTCTTCTTTTCCCTTTGCGATGCGATGAAGAAGATGAAACAAAAAAACGGTGAATTAAGTTTTAAGGGAAAAACCCTAAGTTCAGTTTAATGACTGAGCTAGTTGAAAAAATTCTGAAGTCGTCCAATTCAAACTAGACTAGTCTAAAGACAATATGGAGCCAGACCAAACCCGATTCAAATCGAATTAATTCATTGAATTGGACTAGTCATACCCCAATGGACCAAACCAAACCACTCAATCTCTTTGTCACTCATATTCTTTTGTTCTCTCTCGATCTCTCATTGATGAAAATGAAACAAAAGAAGAGAAACAAAAGAAGTGGAAGTGAAAAAAGAAAAAAAAAATAAAGAAGAAAAGAAAAAAGAAAAAGGGGAAAAAAAACAAAAGAAAAAATGAAAGGAGAAAAAAAGATACAAAAGATCCAAAAGGAGTTTTTTGGTAGCATAGTAAAATATATATATATATGTATATATATATATATATATATATCGATTTCAATATATATAATTATAATAAATAATAATAATATCCTTGGATACCAAATGCTAGAAGTTGAATCTTAACCTTTAAGAAACTATTAATGTTCAAGGAGAGTGAATTGCTGAGATTTTAAAAAATCATGAATAGTTTTAATGGTTGATAAAGATTATTATATACCCGAAAAGTTGTAATTGTTGATAAAGGTTATTCATGTACTATTTCATATTTATAAATAATCACTATAAATCAAACCCAATGAGTATAATTTTTGTTAAATAAAATCTTATATTTTCTCTCTAAACTTTCTACTC